AATACAATTAACCTGTTTAATATTTTCATTGCAACAATTTCAAGTTTTTAATGTAAACACAAAAGCATTCAGTAAGTAAACAACTTTTATCAGGTAAATGTTGCTTTATTCCTCGTCCGGAAGCATTTTACTTTGTAAGAAGTAACAATGGAATTTGTTAATAAATTTTTTGGGGTCTCTTAGTACCTTTTATTAAAACCTCTTTAGGCAACTGAGAATAGATTTAAATGGTTTGAGGATTTAAATTGGCGTAAATAAAACATTTGCATTGCTTCCAACTCTTTAGTATGACCAGTCACATTGCATTTCCCCTTTTTTGTGGAGGTCATCATCAAATTACCTTTCTCGCCCAGGGTATGGTGACAGCGAGTGTCAGACCTTTTCTGGCTAAAAACCCCCCCAATTCTTCTCCTGCTCCAGGCCAGGGCCACGGTAGGTACCTTATTGCGCTTGACCCCCGACCCCAGGTATGCATAAGGCATGTTGGACCTCATCTGTGGTAGAACACCATTAGCTCTTTAAGGCGTGCGCAGAACGCGTGGCGCCTCACACTCGTGTCTGGTTTCAATCGGGCGGCGAGCTACCCTGCTACTTACTTAACATCAGTTTTTCATCAGAATGATCAGTAGTATTGATAATTTCATCTAAAACATTTCTTATAAGGCGAGTAGAAAGGGCGTACCTAAAACAACTGGTATTTCAAATTGTTAAACTACTACAATACTAAGACTCGTCACAAAATCAAACTTAAGCAAATCCCTATAGGTTATCTTGTCGTCACAACTAAACCACTTTCATAGAATAAAACATAACATAACAAAAGGTCAGACGGCTTAACTAACGTTGTTCATGAAATCTGAAACTTCCTGAATCACGGCACTAATGAGTGTACAAGCAAAACCGACTGGCCGTAGCTGACCGCTCTGTTAGCTCGCAAAGATAGAACAAGTGTAGAATACACGTAGATGAGGGGAAATTGGAACTTAGTTTGTTTGTAGAGGTTATAATAGACAATTTAACGAACTAGATACAATCAATAATTACTTAGTCTTATTAAAAAAATCGGTCGCTTAAAATGATCGCTGGAACAATCAATCCATGAGACACACAACCCCACATTGGTATTGAATGATATACATATATGTATTGTTTGTGTAGATTTATTGTATAGTGGGTATTATTTTTCAGCCTTTTATGATTTTATTAAATTTCATGATTGCTTCTTGCATCTGCCATTAATTAATATTCTTCTGTGCATCACCCAAAGGTCAGACTGGTAGAGAATGCTCAAAGCATTAAGTCCACCTTGTGTACAGTATCTTGTGCATGAAGCTTATAATAAATAAATAAATAAAACCCCAGTCTACTCTACTAAGAAAGCAGAATTAAACTTTACGTCCCCCGTGATAAGTTATTTCATTAGAAGGCAAATTACGCGGTCCTCTTAACGTCAAACACTTTCCCACCTATGGTCAAGAGCAAACAGCAAATAATCGTTCCCAAGTCGACGAAATGAGGTTGTGATTACCCAGAAATTAATTTGCCTCTTTAATGATAGGACAGAAATGTAACACGCGTTGTTTACTATAAGAATATTGTGTTTAATTATACCTACTTTTTTATCTGGGCTTGGCATATATGTTGTGTGTCGGTGACATGTATGCATAAGCGGAGAATTTACTTTCATTAGATAAATTGTTCAAACAGTCAATTGTCTGAAGTAGCAAAGCAATTGGAATGTTGATGAGGTGAACTGAAAGCATTTTGAAAATCGTTTTATTCCATGAGTTACTAAGACAATATTTAGGCTCGCGATAGACATTAACAAAAAAAATATATTTGTCGTGTATGATAACGATAAATAGTTAAAATAGAGGGAAACCATAACCACATTAATATAACTACAAGATCATGACGTTTCACGAGTTTTCAAATAGATCCAGTCGAAGAAATATGAAACGTTTCCATTGGTAGAAAAAAAAAGTGTTTAATAATTTAAATTTAAATATTTTTTATTTAATATTTCAAGCTGACAAGACGAATATAAAAAAAGAAACCCTATAAGAAAGCTCACGAACATTGTCTATAGAATTTGTGCAATGTTCCAGAAAAAAACAACATAAAAAATAAGAAATAAATTTAAAAATATTCAACATAAATGCATCTGCTACTGAATCAGAAAATGTAAATTACTTTAAACCGACGTAGACCACGAAACATTTCATGGTTCGAAAAGTTGAGAGTACAACGTATTAAAATGACATAACATTGCATTTACCGCTAATTAAGGCTTACCCACTAGTAGCATTCATTTGTCACAAGCAAAAATCGGTGGTTTGTTGAATAAACAATGATGCGTTACTGCGTGCCTTACCTAATGATTACAATAAGTACATGCAAGTCTTGTGTGACTGCTGATTAAGAATCTTCGCTTCTCATTCTAGAGATAGAAATATCGAAATAATACTGGCCTAAAAATCCGTTGGTGAATGTTTTGAGTGTGCCTATTTTGCATAAAGATGTGTTCCAAATTTAAAATACATTTCAACGAATTTTTCATGCAATAAAATATAAAATAATTTTTCTAGCTAATTCGTTAGTTTTTTCAGTAAAAATGGATTATTTTAGTCTATAAAACCATGAAATATAAATATTACTTTAAATGATGTAGCTAGAATTCGTATTTATTTTTGAAAATGAAAGTATGCACCTAACAGAACCCTAAAATAGTTTATAAAATTTCATATGAAAATCAAGGTATATTGTATTTTATTAACGTATTTAGGAAAAGTATTGAATTTTCCTAGTTGGAAACTACCCTATTCTAATTTTCAAATACTGTTAATGCAATCGAATCGTGACTAGAGTTATGTCGATGGGCAATAGGGACATTAGCCATAGCGTTACTCTACGTGACGTCATAATATAAAATTCATAGAAAACTCAAAATGAGTCTTGAGAATTGTCAAGTATCTACGCAATTGAGAAAAAATCTTTCAAATTGTATACGGGAACTAAGTAGATCACCAGCCCATTTCCTAAAATAAATTAAAGTTAAGTATATTTTTGTAATAGTAACAAATGATTTGTAATTAAGTAGGTATTGATAATGCTATTGTGTAAAAGTTATTTACTTAACTAATGCTTCATTGATGAAGATTACGAATTTGTTTGTAGCTAATTGCGTTAGTTTTTTGTATATTGTACTGTATTGTTTTTGTATATTCTTTATGTAGATATGTTTGCGTAGATCATATATTTAACATTTTCATTGTTCATTTTGTAATTACAAAATGACAATAAACTGATAACTGTGCCCATTTTGTGTTTATTGAACCATACAAACATAACAATTTGAAGAAAATATCTTAAATGCATTATTAAACACAGGCTTTTGCCAGATCACTTCTTTTTGCAAATTTAGAATATTGCAAAATTCAAATTTAGAAAGGGTTCAGTCTTTTAATCGTAGGATATTTATTTTCGTATAATTTAGCAAATAACTATTCTTTACATCCTTCTTGAATTGTTGACCTCTTTTAAATCTCTTAAAAACCACGAACGTATTAGCAACAATAAAAAAAAATTCAAATGAAAAGCGAAAAAAGTTGTGGTGCTCAATGGCTTTTACTTTGTTTGGATTCTCTTTGTGACAGACTTCCGTCACTAAAGTTATTTTTTGCTTTTTAAGTCAGTTTTCAGTTTTGTTAAAACGTATTTTTTTAACCTTTTTATCATGGTTTCATCTCCTCTCACGAACAATGTTCAATGGCATAATTAAAAAAAAATGCATTTATTCATATTATTTGACACATTAATAATATCATAATCGTACTATCCGACATATTTTATCAAAAACATCCAATCCCACTTTTATGAATAAAAAAGATTCGGTTCCTTTTTTAAAACAAACAACAAAGCATTATTGTATCAAAAAGTTTATAGACAAAAGAGGATCATTGCTAAAACTTTGAATACGCAGAATCGATTTAAATATTAATTATTCGTTTCTCTTTCATATGTTACGCGCTCACGGGAAATTGCGAAGATAACCGAGCAAAGAGATAGAAGATTTTAGCAAGCTTAATAAAAGCAATTTACTGTATCAATTAATGTTCATGTTTCCAACCGAGTTTCTTTAATCCGATTTATGTAGGCAGATAACTACAACCCAAGGAAATATTTAGAAACCTTGTCAGCACTATTTAAATGAACGCCTACGCTTGCCAGACCAAAGAAAATACGTATAAGGTTACCTTCGTCTTCAATAACAAAGAGGTAATAAAATGTAAGGAACGTGAAATGAATTTATAGATAGAAATGAAGTTTGCGGTTTGGCAATTGAAACTACCAGCCACCCTCGATAGAACATAAAAGTCCAAATTTTGTTCGCTCAGTGAGAAAATCCTGCATTACGATATCCAAATTGGATGACAAAATCCTTTAAGTAATTTGAGTAATCATTCAGCTTTATGTAGCCGTAGGTATACCTACTGCTATCGGTTTACGGATGAAACTCACTGAGCAGCGAAAATTTAAATCGAGAACTTATAGTTAAGGTTCAAGGATTATGCGCCACGGACAATGTGAGGCGAAATTAATGATTTGGGATCTTCTGTTTACCCAAAATATTAAATTGGGGATTTGAATATGTTACTTAATTGTGCTGTTAAAACGTAGATAACGGACTCAACAGAAGCTTTAGTTTAATCAGAGTATAATTACTTCCGACTAGATACTTGTTCAGTTAATATTTGGTAGGACCCTCGCTAACATACACAATCATGCTGAAACAATCAAATATTTCCGACTGCCTGAGGCCTACCTACGCATAATACTTACTTACTATACTTTAGTATGGGAATTGGAGAAACACACGCACATGCGAACTTGTGTGGAAATAAACATTTACCTTGCAATGGCTACCCATTCATTTGAAAATTAGAACGTTTTTGTTGTTTGCGTTTACACATAATAAATGCTTGTGCAATGAGATATACCTTTCAAATAATTCACAAAGGCAAAGCACGGTCTTAAGTTAGAACTATCAAGACTCGAGTTCGGGTTTTCCTGTGAGGCTGTGTTGCGTCTCGCTCTAGCGGCTAGTATGACGAAGCTGTAAATGTTGCGTCTCCTTCTAACTTGAGAAGGCTTGCGCGGAAAGAGAATGTGGGTAACGAACGACCTTTTGCCGTTATGGACAAGCAGTGCGGCCCGTACGTTCACCGGGAGCGGTACAGTCGGTTGCGTCCACACTACATCGCGCCGATACTCTGACAAGCTGAAAAAAAAATTACGTAAATATTACAGCACTCACGCATTGATTATGAAACGTCTGTGACTGGAAGGTCGAGTCCTGGACATCCTCACGTAACGTGTGCACTGTGCGTCCGCGTTTAGTTGTTTGTGCGATCCTGTTTGACCCTGGTGATTTTATTTTATTAAGTATATTGTTTTGTAACCCTCTCCCGTGGTGTTCATTGTATCGTTCATTTCTGTGTTTCTGTTGTGATTTATTTCTGTATCTTTGGATTGTCACTGGAGTTGTTGGTAAGTCAATAATATTATGTTTTTCTCATATTTTTAGTTAATATTTTTTTTACACATGCATTTTATTATTTGTCATTCATTAGTGGTTGTTAATTTTGTTTTATTATTGCTTGTGCAATTGATTTGATAATTCTTAAGCTGCGTTATTATTCTATCGTTTGGCTATAGTAATAAATACAATGTAGAGTAGCCGCATGGATGTTCCCCAATTAGAAAATTTACATGTAGCAAGCCAATACGATACATTTTGGACAATACGATGTTTAAATAAGAGCTAAAATCAAAAATCGCGAAGAAATAAATTCAGAATGAAAAAAATACGTCTGTTATTATTTACCACTAAACATGTTCATTGAAAAATTACACAGTGAACCAAAAATATAAAAGAATAAACGAAAAACAATCAACATGAGAAAAAATTAAAGAAAACACTTCGTGAGTTCCTAATACTCAAGTAATAGGGTATAAATTTGGTGACATACATTAAAAGGGTTTTTGGCTCTTATTTTATCTGTCGGTTGCAGCCAAACGATTAATTATGGCGTATTATAATGCTTTATGACTCCCATTTATTTGTACAATCGTCATTTGGAAGATTGCATGGGGGAAACTTTGTGTATTTATTTTAACTGTCGCGTTAGTAGAGTGGTTGAGAGCATGGAAGAGCATGAATCTTGGATTCAAAATTTGGGTCAAAAGAAACAATTTTTTCAAAATTCTCAGTCATATTATTAATAATCGCTTCGTCGTTAATTTTATTATAAACTGGCTTTTGCCCGCGGCTTTGTTCGCGTGGAATAGTGACTACCTGCAGATTTTGGTTAAAAAATCTGCAGGTAGGCTATCCTACGTCCTTTCTCGAGTTCCAAACTACGTCTGTGCCAAATTTCACACAAGGAGGTTCAGTAGTTTAGGCGTGAAGAAAAGACAGACAGACAGAGTTACTTTCGCATTTATAATATTATAGTTTGGATTGATCAAAAGTGTATGGTGAGAACTTCTATGAATACAAATCTGACAAATTTATAAAAAAACTAGGCTTTTCCTAGTAGTCTACATACCTTCCAATGTCACCCACTCAATGACCACAATATACTCACACGTATAAGTGGGAACCTATTTGGTATCGACACAATAAGCTTCATCAGTGCCATTGAAAGGTAACAGGATCTACCTTGAGATGTATTTTTGAGAAATCGCCAACAGGAAAACCCGGTAACAAATGTATTGATACATTTAAAGCTACAAAACTATACAAAATCAGCGATATTTGATTAAAACAACATGTCTTTGATAATATTTCCTCAAATATTTTTCTTACAAAAATACATATTGGCGTTTTTCTGCCATTCGAGTCTTTGGTATCTTTTTGATCTTATGATAAATCGTAACGATTGTGTTTATTTAGGGAATTAGGTCTAACAATAATCTCATTTCAAATCACAATTGAACCACAACAAAAAACAGAAGCCTTAGCTTTATACTCTAAACACTAAATACTAAGATATCCAAATTGAATAAGTACCTATGTACTGTAAATTTATACCTGTATATGTAATTCGCATTAATTACTGGGTCACTTTTTTAGATTGAAATAACTTGATCTTTGACTAAGGAATCATATGTATTTGCTACAGTATGTTATGCTATCAAAATTACTTATTGAATCGATTTAAAGAGTGAATTTTAAGAAAATGTTTTTAATTTTTTTTTTCTTAAATAAGCTAGTGGGTAATAGTTCTAAAAAGGCTAAACATAACATTTTATAATTCATTTTACATTGCTACGTACATACAGAGCAATAAAAAATTATATTAAAACTTATATAATAAGTAGAATATAAGGGGAAAGAAAAAATAAATCGTGGGCGGAACCTTTGGGAAATTAATAGCTGACTTTTGTTTTTCAGAAGGAGTAGGCGGCTCTGAACTTTTATTTGATTTCAGTTCATTGCCGAATGATTTATAGTCTTGTTGATACGATGGCCGTCGGTCTTTTAATGTTTCGGATTGCTGACTTCCAATCACTCAGAACTCAAGACCAAAACCTAATGTTATCCTTGTAATGTTATAAACGCGAAAATTTGTTAGTAGATTGATGTGTGTTTGACACTCTCACGTAAAAACTACTAAACGGATCTGAATGAAATTCGGCGCAGATATAGATTATAGACTGAAATTCCTGGTCCTGTGGGTGAATCCAGTAATTAGTAGATTTAGTAACACTATTTAATGGTATCTCTAGTAACATTTGAAAATAACTTACGCGAGTTTATCAGATTTTTTTATATGCCAATGTAGTAAACAAATACTGAGTACCATTTGAGGATTCGTAATTTCGGACACATAGGATAACTGTGATGGATAACCACGCTAAAATACACTAAATTAATACTGGTATTAAAATTTTAAACTATGTTTATGGTCATTACAGACTAATATACCTAGTTACCTACAAGATAAGGTTCCTATACTAATATTTTTGGTATTAAACGGTTTATGGTAATGTGACCAATAAATTACCAAAACAAAGAAATAACTTTCGCGGTAACACAATTCCTTTTTCAGCGTCGACCACGTACATTTCCACACATGTGTGAATGTGAGCACGTACTACATGTCTTCCAGAACTTTCTGCTTAGCCCCATGGGAAAAGTATACAGTATACAACCACATATATAAATTTGAAACTATGCGGAGCGTATTAGCACATGTTTACGACTTGTGGACATTGTACTCGTAACAACTCGAGCATATAATTTTGGGGGTCATTTGGAGAATGACTAAAAGACTCCTAAACCCCCGGTTCGGGGTCTTTTTCATATAGGTAAATAACGTTTTTTTGAAAATCAGACATATTATTAATAAGTTTAAGATTAGTAAAATAAGAAAAAATATCGTTAAAATTACGAAACGATTACTTCAGACTTGCATGCCATGTGAAATAATGTTTCGGTAATTCTAAAATAATATGCACCAATGGCACCAAATAAGCCTGTAACGACAGATTTCGCATAAAACAGTATATTTATACTGATGACACACCTACTTAATTCAGTATTTGAGCAGATATTTGGAAATCCCTGTATTTAAAGCATTTTTTATGTAAATTCGACTTGAGTCACAGTTCATATGCTGGTCAATTGTATTGGCAAAGTTTTGTTTGGTCATCTGAAATAGAATTATTTTACTCAACAACCTAAATTACTTATTTTGGCAGGGATTTCGTGGTTCCCTTAAAGATGTCCTTTAAATTTGGCACTGTGTTACTATGATTAAAATCATATCAAGTAAATCGTTGTAGAAATGTATTATCTAAAGGTACACATATATATATCAGCATTTACCGATTCATATTCATTTTATATTAGCAATGAAATGATCCCAAAATTGCATCGAAATAAGATGAACCTAATAAAAAAAAAATCACAAAAATTCTTCATAATCAGCCAAAGCACGAATACGGACGATCCGGCGAAATTGCGTTTACAAGTTTATTTAAAATTAAAGCAAAGTAAACGAATAGACGTTATTTGTTAAGAAATACAATTAATCCCTTTGGAGACCTGTTGCAAAAATAATGTCCCTTGTATTTTAAAACGGTTTTGTAATACAATGAAGACAGTTAATTCATTAACGTCTAGTGTATTTTCACGTAAAATGGATTAAGGAGATAGATTATCCGAAAAGCCTTTGATCTTTCTTTCGATGAATGAGGAACTGGAGAGTTTCGTCTTTCCAACACACCGGTGAAATTAGACAATGTATCCAATAAATGTACCTTTACTAAGATAACTATTTATTATGTAGGTACGAAAGGACGATGCAGGGGCTTGTCTTTTTAATCTTCAGTTAAATATTACAACATATTAAATGTAGAGCCATGCTGCGGCATGAATAAGCCGACTCAATCAGAGCGACACTAGAAAACTGGTGTAAAATGACGCTAACGTGTTTTGCCGTGTGAGTGAGGTAACGGGAGAACTATTCCCCCTCCTCCTCCTCCATTCCCAAACCCCTATTACCTAATCCCAAAAATCACTAGCAACTTTAACTCCTCTGGTCCGGGCTCTGTGGTCGGCACCGATTATTTACCATCAGGTGATCCGACAGCACGTTTGCCGATGTAGTTTTTATCACGTATCAATTTATTCAATAATTTTGAATAATATAATAAGTTAAACATTTTAATATACAATGTGATCCCAGAATTGAACCCTACGCCTCATGGGACAATCAAACCCAATAACATTTATTATCAGTTACATAATTATGTGGTTTGCTAAATTAATTGCTTGGAACTAATTGTCGGTTTAGAACTTAATAACTTCAATCTGATAATGCCATATAAATTACTGCATGTTTGGCATGCATAATGGCTTGGTCATCGCGATTCGATTTCCGTACGGAATCATTATAATGATTTATAACTGACAGTTGTTCCGGGTTAAAGTATGGTAAAATAGTAAAAAAACTTAAGTACGTAACACAAAGCCGGGCGAGTCCATGTTTTTTATTATTTTTAATTTGTTTCTTGTGCCAGTTTTAGAAACCGCACACTGTTCTTAGTTTACTTTACTATTTTTTTATTTCTTTCCTCTATATAAGGATTCTCTACTGTTTTGTGGGTGTCTTAACGAATACAAATTCATAGTAACAATTTTTGATTGAACAAAGAGTTATTACAATCGAAATTGAACGTGCAACACCTAGTAGTAGGTGGGCAACTACCCATCCCTCTTAGTTGCTCAGTAGCCCAGCTACTACGCCTACCATGCAGTCAAATATTGAGTACCCTTATCTTTGGAATCTGTTATTTCTCTATTGGCATACTTTTAAAGCCGGGAATTTTATAAAATGATCTGGGGTATTTGTCTTCCTACGACCAGTATTTTATAGACTGTTTAAAATCACCAAAGAAAATGGTACGCGTAGAAAACCACGAAGCAATACCGCTGACAAAGTAGCCCACTAACATTTTCTCTGCACCATTCATCAACCAATCATAGCAATGGCTTCGCAGCGCAATCACATAGTTATTTTTTTCTTTAACGATACGTAACTACTTGTGTTACATGTGCTAACTAGATCCGGTTGATAATGGGACTTTGATTTGTCATTGTCACCGAGTAAGTTGTTATATGTGAAGGTATCTGTTTCAAGGGAAACCATGTTTTTGTTGAAGAACGTGCCTTAGTACATACGGAATAGGAATTGTTTTTTGTTACCCTGTTATACTTAGTTCGA